GCTTTATAAAAAGCCACTTCATCACTTATCTCTTACAGCCGTTTGGATATACTGAAATCCATTTTTAGTTAAAAGGGGATGGAAAAAGAGCACAAGGGCTTTCTATTAAGAGAACGACATTGCATTTAATCACACCGCAACAGTGTGAATCACTATTCATACTTTTCTTGGATGACATTGCGAGGCAACAGGCACATTTCAAATTGAATTTCAAAGAAAATATTATTTGTTTTACATTGGAAAAAAATCAGGCTCTGACAGACAAAAGATAAAGGCAGCAAATCCTTTTACTCTGGCTCCCAAATGATTTGCCTACTGGAACAGCAAACCGAAGTCCAGCTTCCCACAACACGAAGGACTATTTTTCCTTCCTCACTGTAGTATTTTCACTTCTGCTTAATAAAAGAGAAATAAAAATCAAACTGCCTGCTTTGAGGAGTCCCAAAGACTTTGGAGAAAACAGTATCAAAAGCACTTAAATTCATCAAGTATTTCAAGATCTAGGCTACCTATAGCCTAGATTTAGTGTTCCATTTGGTTTCAATTGTTTTCTTAAAATCTATGAGGTGGCAAGAAAAAACAAATACATTTGAAGAGGACACCTTAAATGCAAGACTTGATATCATCAGTACACTTTCCATAAGCCTATAATTTCTTTTAATGTTGCTTACTGGCTACTACAGCCAAAAAGAGAAGGAAGCAACTCATACCATGAATACACTCAAAATAGCAGTAAGTTTGTAAAGAATATTATTGCAGAAGAGTGAAATTAAACATACACCACATACCTCATTATTTTCTGGGAGTAACAGAAGCAACAACAGGATGGCATAACTCCATACCCATCTTCAACAATTCCTAAGGACCACTGCAGCCTAATCTGAGCTAAAATTCATACATGCAGCATTGTCAAATACTGTTTCGACACGTCCCTCATGTCACCAGGGAATTCTCCAGAACTGCCCAAGAGGCAGCTTGTTTGAGCACACCATCACCTCAAAGCAGCAGGCATTACAGCCTAGCACTGAGGTTTCAGTCTGCCTTCAACCCAAGATGGATGCGCAGCCGCTGGCAAGGTTCCTGGCTACCTCCTGCCCCAAGGGCTACAAACACAGGGCCACTTTAAAAAAAAAAAAAAAAAAAAAAAAAAAAAAAAAACATGATTTGCAGGAGTGGGAAAACTATTAAAAAGGCACTTCCAAAACAATATTCATAGTCATTAATGTGTGCGTAGCAATAGGGGATTTGAAGCACTCTGAGACATAATGCAGCTCTCAGAACGGACACCTTTTATTGCTCTGCAACTTTACTTTGCTCAACACAGCAGTTTTCAGTCCTTAATTCCTATGCCCTCGATTTTTCAAAGGCAGTACAGCAAGACACAGAGCCTCAGAATAGAAAATTTCACAAGGTTCAGGTCCCAGAAAACAGTATGCAGTATACAAAAAGTATAATAATAACTAGTAAACAGTATAAAAAAACATGTTAAAGTGTTTTAAACTTATTAAGCATTTATTTCTCTAAAAGGGAAGTTAAACGCATGTGTTTGCAAACAGTGCCATTAGATGTTCTGTGCAAGCTGGCAGAGGTCATAGCTAAGCCGCTCTCCATCATCTTTGAAAGATCCTGGAGAACGGGGGAGGTGCCGGAAGACTGGAAGAAGGCCAATGTCACGCCAGTCTTCAAAAAAGGCAAGAAGGAGGACCCAGGCAACCACAGGCCAGTCAGCCTCACCTCCGTCCCCAGAAAAGTGATGGAACGGCTCGTACTGGCCGTTGTCTCCAGGCATGTGGAGGACAAGAAGGTGCTCAAGAGTAGTCAGCATGGATTCACCAAGGGGAAATCTTGCTTGAATAACCTGATAGCCTTCTATGATGGAATGACCAGCTGGATAGACGAGGGGAGAGCGGTGGATGTCGTCTATCTCGACTTCACCAAGGCTTTTGACACCGTCCCTCACAACATCCTCCTGGGCAAGCTCCGGAAGTGTGGGATAGATGAGTGCACAGTGAGATGGATTAGGAACTGGCTGGATGGCAGGGCCCAGAGAGTGGTGATCAGCGGTGCAGAGTCTAGTTGGAGGCCTGTGGCTAGTGGGGTCCCCCAGGGGTCAGTCCTTGGTCCAGTCCTGTTCAATTTATTCATCAATGACCTGGATGAAGGCACAGAGTGCTCCCTCAGCAAGTTTGCTGATGATACCAAACCGGGAGGAGTAGCTGATACCCCAGAGGGCTGCGCTGCCATCCAGAGGGACCTGGACAGACTGGACAACTGGGCGGTGAAAAACCTCATGCAATTCAACAAAGCCAAGTGCAAGGTCCTGCA